CATGGTTGGAGGCTATTATACGAGCCTCGACCATCCCTCATATGCCTAAGAATTCGAGTATCACACTCTATACTCGGAGGGAATCAAACCCTAAACCAAAGGGAACTGACAACTGATTTGAGTACGCGACACACACACACACACACACACAGATATATATATATATATACTTACAAATTGAAAGTTAGGTATAATTTGTGTAGTGCCTAAAAGTTGTGTGGTTCGTATGTAAAGATTGAAGTTCATGTGTTAAATATGTCATTTATAGAAATTGCTAAGTTTTTATATGGATATTGAAGTTTAGGTGTTAGCTATGTAATTTATAACTATTATGTGATTTTTATGTAACTATTGAAATTTAGGGGTAGATAAGTGATATGTTCTAGCGATTATCACAATAATGTAAGTCCTGAAAATGACACAAGAAACTTAATCCGCTACCCTTAATCCGCTAGCTAGCAAATTATTTGAGTTTGTGCTCATTGGAGTTTCTCACACAAATACATGTATTATTTCAGTAATATAGGACTCTATTGAGTCCGGATTGTCAATCCCTCAGGGAAGGAGGTAACGAGCCCCTCAGGCGAAGTTCTAGTCTACTATGCTAAGTTCTTAGTGTGGAATGCAAATTAAAATGATTTTTCTAGTAATTACTCATAAACCATAAAAAAAAGTCCAAGGCTAAACCTAACTATAACAATTGGTTTGGTGAATATAAAGATATAAAAACTGCATTTCTCTTATGATTGCCTAAGTGGATTATAAGATTGAATACCAAGAATTGCTAATATAACTACTGCAAAGAGGAGCATATATCTTGTTTTCCCTCTACAGAGTGCGTAAAGAAGTTTGGTTTAATTTTGTAAATGTTTCTGCTGTAACCCGAGAAACCTCCAAGCTATACCCATCAAAACCTATCTCCTTATCTATTTGCATTGTCCTATGGACTACTTTTTCTTCACCCACTAGTTCAATGTGATCATCCTAGTTGTTCATGCCATAGTTTTTCCGAGTCTTATGGGTTCACAATAAATTTTAACAATTTATATGGTCAGTACAAAAAGTAAATGAATCATAGAAGGAAAGATCATCATATTAGTTTTAAATCCGATTCTAAAAGCATTCAAAACATCCAACAAAACCTGCATATTTATCACAAGAGAAAAGTAAAAGAAATCTACTGATAAAGCATGAAAATTACAATAGAAATCATCATCATCATTTAACAAAACAAACACACTAAATATGTGTTTACAACAAGTCCATGACACATGAGGCACAATCATTAGCTTTTCTCTTCTAAAAAGAGTTGAAAAGTTCCTCCAAAAATGAACTTGCAATGCTGCAATGCTGTAATGCTTCCTTTACAGATTTCTCTCTAAACACCTCACCAATCTTTCAAGAAAAGTAGAAATTTATAAACCCTAAATCTCCCTCGGACTCCTTGGCTTCTCTTAACTTCTTCCACTACTTCAGAATGCTTCATCTGCACTAACAAAATCTCCTCTCGAACTGCTTAAAATTGCCACATAACTCCTCAAGTTGTGGTGAAGCAACTACAGAAAAACAGTCGTGCCTTGGCGCCGACCTCTCGGGTTGTTGCACTAGTTCTATCGCCTAGACGCCAATAAGCTGGCGCCAAGGCGCTTGGATGGAGTGGTTGGGCGCCTAGAGTCTGGCGCCTAGGTGCTAGGCTTGTTGGTTCCAATGTGCTTCATTTAACACCTTTTTGCTCCTTTCTAACTCTGCTTTTCTCCATGTGTCCTACATGTTATACCTGCAAGAAAAACACTAGAAGGCCCTTCTTTAAAGTGCATTTTCATCCAAAAAATAAGAGTAAAAGACAAAGAAATTTGAGCATGTTGAAAAACATACCAAAAAATAATACATAAGCATTATATAGTTTGTATGTAAGCTTAGATTTAGATATGTAATAGATAAGAATTGTGTAGTTTGTATGTGGAAAATGAAGTTTAGGTGTAAGCTATATACTGCATAATAATTGTGTAGTTTGTAAAAGAGAAATATAAAATTTGAAGTTTAGGTTGGGCTTTAAAAGATAAACACAGAATTAAATTAATTGTTGTTGAGATGATAAGGCTTGGTTGGATGAGTAGCCTTACACTTAGAGAAGCGACAATGGTAGAACTACACCAGTGAAACGAGAAGCACCAAATCACCACCACAAAGTGAAATTAAAAAATCATTAAGTGAAACTACATAAATAAAATAAGAAGTACAAAACTACCACAGAGAACAACTGAGAAGCCTTGATGTCACAACCATTTAAGTAAAACAAGAAGCACCAATCCACCACCATATTGGAAAACCATGAAGCCACACACAACCACATAGTTAAAATGAGAAATAACAAACTACTACCACAGAGGACAACCGAGAAGCCCTAATGACGCAACTAGATAAGTAAAATGAGAAACACCAAACCACCACCACAAAAGACAATCTAGAAGCGCAACCACGTATGTAAAACATGAAGCATTAAACCACCACCAAAGAGAAAAACTAAAAAGCCCCAAAGTACAAGTACATAAGTAAAACGAGAAGCACCAAACCACAACCACAGAGAACAACCGAGAATCTCCAATGACACAACCACATAAGTAAAATGAGAAGCATCAAAACACAACCATAGAGAAAAATTGAGAAGCCCCAAGTCACAACCATATGGGTAAAATGAGAAGCAAAAAAACTACCACCAAAAAGGACAACCGAGAAACCCCAATGACACAATCACATAAGTAAAACAAGAAGCAGTAAATCACCACCATAGAGGAAAACCGAGAAGCCACAAGGCACAACCACATAAGTAAAACTAGAAGCAACTGTGATGAGATATACTAGTTGATGTGGTATATATACATACATACATACATACATATAAATCAAACAATAGAACGATCAACGAAGTGAAAAATAAAACGAAAAAAATTCACACCAAAAAACAGTAACACTGCGAAATACACAGATTTAAGTGGTTCGGCAAATTGCCTACGTCCATAGAGTTGCAGAGGATTTTACTACTTGAGGAATTTACACCAGTCGATCATCTCGACTTACAAGAGGAATCTCTCACTTTGTTGCTCTTTCTTATTCTCTCTGTTCTTCTCTCTCTATACAGAGATACACCGAAGAAACTCTACACAGAGATACACCTAAGAATACAAACTTACAAGAGAAATAAACTAAATTTCTCTTCTGTCACAATCACAAGCCACCAAGAAGAACACAAACCACAATGAAGAAGCCCAGGGAGAACAGTCTTCTTATTTCTTCTTCCTTCTACCACAATGAACTACACCTTGCACTTCTCTTTCTCTTGTGAAATTTTCCTTTATCCCGAGAAAATCTTTCTTTATCTCGAGGAAACCGAAGAAGAACACAAAAGGTTGTGCCGTAAACTGAAGGAAAGCCGCTGTGATGTCTTTTATCGTGAATTGGAAGGGAGGAAGGGAGACGTTGCGACTATTCGCGATAGAGGAGCGATTCACGAACAACAGGGTCACAACCTTTTGCGAACGGGAGCGGGAGCTTGCACGACAGAGCGGGGGCGGGAGTCTTTGCGTGTGCGCGGAAACTGTTTCACGATGTTTGCGATCGGGACGTGGGAAGGCGAGAGCAGGAAATCAGACTCCAGCTTAACAACAACAAATCACCACCACATAAAAGTTTAAGAAAGGAAGAGTTTCATTAGAGATACATACTAGAGAGGCGGCAACAAATACAAGGAAGAAGAGAAGAGGGCCGCAAATGTGCCCTAACACCAGTTACCCCAAACGAAGTCAAAGAGCGAGAAAAGAGTGGGAGAAGAGAGGAGGGGTAATATCGAGGATAAAATGAGTCAATTTCAAAATTGATGAGGGACACCATGATAATTGTCAATCCAAACCATAATTTGATCCACAAAACTGAGCATGGAGCTGTCGTTTTGCGGCTTTCCCGTTTTCAAAATATAATTTTATTAAAAGCAATCGAAACATTGGCTCCCAAATGGACACTAACAGCATTTCAAAATGACAAGCAATTATATAACACTCTCAAATGCACCCTAAATTGTGCCAAGGTCACCTAGAAAAGAGGTAAGCCCTCTATAAACCAAGCGAATAATGTCTGTACCAGAAGTACGTGTAGCCTGTGGTATTCGTGCGGTATTGCACCTCAATATCACACAAATACCATCAATCCACACCAATCTCATGAGCATGTAATATTTTTTTTCCCACAAATCGGCCCCGTCTCAATTTTTTCTTATAAATTAATTAATATGAAGAAAATATTAAATTAAAATCAAATCATCATTCATTAATAAGTAAAGGTCACTGGCGGTGCATGTAAACCAATTCTGCGCGAGGGCTTCTGATCTACTGCCATGACTGCGATGCTTTCCGGACCAACCTCTTTAACCTGCTTCGTAAGGGCAAGGAAAGGAGTTTCCTTTCCGCACCAAAAGCACCATTTTCCAGGTAGAGCAACCTTTCTAAATCCACCACTTAGCTCTGTGATGTCAAGAAGCTCGGCATATGGTCGGATGAGTATGAAGAAAAAGCCCAAAATCGCACCCAGAAAACCCTTATCTCCTGTCATGGAATGGCAAGACTGCAGGTATTTGATCAATTTCCAACTCGAGCTACGCATTTCTGTTTCTTCAATGGGATTTGAATTTCAATTGCGTTTTCATGGATATTTTAACCGGCCACACTTCTGTTGTTCCTTCGATGGTCATATGTGTATACCAATATCTGGAATCAATCTGTATAGAAGCATGGAGCACCTGCCTGAAGCCGAGTGGCAGGCACCTGTTGCTAGATAGCGACTCATCTTCTGGAGGTCCATGTGCTAAGATCCTGTAGATCAATGTACACCAAGTGACTGAGTTTCCTCAAGAAATTTCTTCATAGGACATCAATTAGGCTCCATAATCCCCGTTATGATGGCTACCCCAAAGTGAAGAACAAATGATCATATGCAATATTAGTACCCTATTGCTAGAGTTCCAATTCAGTTGTGATCAAATGTTTCTTGGTGCTGTTGTCCTACCTAAATGGTGAAGAAGACGATATGCAAGCCATCCTTATTTCTCCAATGTCAACAAAAATCACTCTTTAAATTCAAATTTGAATGAACAATCGTTTTTGCATGAAAATATTTATTTTTGTTTTGTGTTGTTTAAAGTGTTCCTGTAGTCAATTCTCATGACTATTTGTTGATTTCATAAAATTTCCATTTGTCTTCTCCTGCTATTATGACAATGCATTTCTTTGAAAACTTTGCAAATGACATTTTTAGACTTTGTCAAAGCCAAACAAAATGTGCTATAGAGTTTAGAACAATGAATATGTCAATTTGTAGGTTAAAGGGAACCTATGTAATTAAATTGCCTTTTCAGTGCAGCTCTGTGATTGAAGCTGATGTTCCATGTTCTGTTGCCTATGAATGCTACTCAAATAAGGAACTTATCCCCAAATGGATGCCTTTCATATCATCTGTAGAGGTGCATTTCTAATAACTAGTGAGTATGTATTCTCTATTTCTTAGCTCTAAATCTTTTAATGTGGCAAGATAAGATCAAAGATCTTCTTGGAGTTTTCATGCATAGGAGATTTTTTATTTAAACTAACATATATAAAGATTTTATTGTCATAGAAAGGCATGAATTACATTTCTTAAATTTTTTTAGTCTAATCTGTTCAATAAAGCTAATTTTATATATATACATACTTTTGTTTTTCTTGACTTAGCAAAGTGTAGCTCATTTCTACTTCATTTAATGACTGCCAATCAACTCATATGTTAAAATTTAATGGAACTTTAAATACGCTGGCATTTATTTTTCATTATTGTTTTCAACTATTGCTGCTCTTCTGCTGTTGGTGGAAAGTATCATGATTTGTACCCCTTTGGTTGGACGACACTTGAATTAAGTAGTTCTTTGTTTAGCTTCACGGACAAATGTTAATGTTATGTTATTAATATATGCTAGTTGTTTGGTTTGATGTTTTTAAATAACAATTTTGTAAATTAAAGTTATGTTTAGTTTTATTGACATAGATGTTTCCAAAATTTTTCGATAATATTGATGGCTAAAATAAAGTGATCATTTTTTATAATTTTTGTTTAAGGATGATTATATATAACATTGGTATCTAGATAATATTAAACCTGTTGTGTGTCAGAAGGTTCACAGTAGTAGAGTGACAATTTAACGTCTCAGCATTATACAAAATTCTAGCACACACACAAATAATAGAAAAGTGGTAGCCATCAAGATTTGTTATATGGGAAAAGAGGAAAAATCACAGGGTTTGACCTAGTCATAGTAATCACTATATAATATTAAATACATGGATTGACACTTCTCTTGAATTAGAGAAGATGATATTACAATGCTAATAATTACATGTGTATAATAGACATCCAGCTTTAATAGTTGTAATTAGACTTCAACAAATGTAATTCTTGACGATAATAGCGATTGTGGGCCTCTAAAGCCATAGTTGGTTGCTATAAATGCAATAGTTAGTCATAAAGACTGAATTCAATGGTTACAATTGCATCATTTGAACGTATATGCCATAGTTAGAGATTGCAATAACGTCAGTTGTTGCAGAGGCTATAATTAGAAGTTGCAGCAGTAGTTAGCCCCATAGCTATGGTTGGTAGATGTAGTAGAAGTAATTGGCGATAGAGGCCCTAATGGGAAGCTGTAGTAGTGATAACTGTTACCACGTAGGTTGTATTGGGTAGCTACAATAGTAACTGACCACATAGGTCATAGTGGATTGTTGCAAGAGCATCAGTTGGCCAAATATGTTGTAGTGAAATGTTGTAATGACAACTGTTGGCCACATGAACCGTAGTTAGCTACAGTAGTAACTGACTACATAGACCTTAGTGTGTCGTTGTAAGAGCGCTAGTTGGTCACAAAAATTGTAGTGGAAGGCTGAAATAACAACTAGTTAAGTAGGCCGTTGTAAATTGCTATAATAGTAACTGGTCACAAAGGCCATAGTGGATCATTTTAAGAATCTCAGTTGGCTACAAAGGTATTGGAAGACTATAATAACAACAGTTAGCTACATAGGTTGTAGTGGGTAGCTTCACTAGTAACGAGCTAAACAGGCTGGAATAGGGGGGGGGTCATTGAAAGATCGTCAATTGGCCGCAGAGAATATAGTGGAAGGCTGTAATAACAACAGTTAGTTACCTAGGTCGTAGTGGATAACTATAGTAGCAACTGACTAGATAGATCATAGTGGGTCTCTACAAGAGTATTAGTTAGCCATAAAAGCCTTAATTGAGGCTACACTGGTTGGTGGCCACAACCTTTTTCCCGAGTTTACTATTATACCAGAGAAATCATTTGTTGACATGTGATGTGAAGAAGAAGAGACTTCAGGTATCTGGAGAAAGTTATCGTATTTTGGAGTCTGATATACACAGTTATTATCAAGAGTTATCATTGGATCTTCGATACGATTCATTCATTACCTCATATTTGGGATACATTATACTGCATTTAAGGTGCATCGTTCCACTGTATTCAATGTACATCATTTCACTATATTCAGGGTAAATTATTACATCGTATTCAGGGTGCACTGTTATATTGTATTCAGGGTGCATATTTATGCTGTATTCAAGGTGTACCGTTACCCCGTATTCAGGGTGAGTCGTTACGTCTTATTTAGGCTATGCTATTACATCATATTCAGTGTGCGTAAATACACTGTATTCAGGGTGTGTTGTACACCATATTGAGGATGCACTATTGCACAGTATTCATGGTGCGTAGGTGCACCGTTTTCAGGGTGCGTTAGTACACCGTATTCAAGGTACATCATTACACCATATTCAGAGTGTGCTGTTACGCCGCATTCAAGTTTCATCGTTACACCATATTTAGTGTGCGTCATTATACTATGTTTAAGGCACATCGTTACACCATATTCCTGGTGCACCATTGCACTATATTCAGAGTACGTCATTATGCCGTATTCAAAATATGTCAATACACCATATTTAGGGTGAGTCACTACACCGTAGTCAAGGTTTGTCGTTACATCGTATTCATGATGCATCATTACATCGTATTTAGGGTAAGTAATTACACCATATTCGAGGTACTTCACTACACCACATTCAACCGAGAGCGGAGGGCGGTCAGCGGTGCTTGACGGCAGGCAGCCTGTGAGCGGCGGTTGCTATGGAGGCCAGGAGTTATCAACGATTCTGACGGCAGCCTGTGAGCGGCGGTCGGTTGCTATGGAGGCCAGGAGTTATCAACGATTCTTCAATTCAGAACATTGGTAATGAGCTCATTTTTCTCCATCTTCCCTCCCTCCTAAGCGAAGACAAAGGGTCTATTTATAGGCCTCAAAGGAGGGCATTTTCATCTTTTAGTGAATAACCAACATAACCACCCAATCGAAAGACCAACGTTGATCTCCCTTGATCATAAGAGGTTTTTTAATGATATGATTGTCTTAGTGAACTCAGAATCAGGTGAACTTGAACTCATTGGATTCTTCTCATTTGGATGAATTTTAATTTAAATGTACTGAAGCCATGAAGGAAGAAGGAAGAAGCTGTTTTGGAAAACCAGAGGTAAAAAATAGGAGAATAAATACTAATAAATTTTAAAAAAATTGTTGAAAATAAGCTGTGACCTATTAATAATGTGCTTAGTTGTATTTATTACACAAAATAATGGTGATATGATTCCTAGGATTAGATTTTCATAGTTGAATTGTCTCCAAAATCATACGTGAAAACAGAGCTAGTTAATAAATAATGGTTATATAATTATTAAGATTAGATTGCAGGGGAAATACCCAAGTCTTATATGAAAAAAAGAATATCTTTGAAGTTCAATAAAAAAAGTCACTTATATCACCTACTTTATTATAATGACTCAAGTTTTTAAGAAGAAATTGTACATAATTAAGCTACGAAAGTATATTATAATGAGACTGTTAAGGTTAATAGATTATAAAACCAATGGATCTTATGTTTAAAATGACTAATAGAGATATTATAGCAGCGACTAACTATAAGAGATAAGTCTATGGATAACAAGAATCTGTAAGGGATGTAATAAATTTTGATGCTTAATCACATTTTGTGATTAGAAGTTCAAAATTATTTCATTAAAGAGATGGTTTGTTCATTAAAATCTTATCACCATGTCTTAATATGGATAATATTGACATCTTTTAATATAATAACTTAAAACATCTCAGTAACACTGATATTTCAATAACTTAAAACAAACAACTTCAAACTAAAAACTCAAATTTGAGTTTTAAGAAGGAATTATTGGGAAAAAAGGATTCAAAATAATGTACCTAAAATTTATACTTGGTATGAAGATGGAGTTACTCTTGAGGAGGGGTAATAATTGTGAAAATTTTCATACGTTTCTTAGCAAAAAGTTTCTTTTTGGAGTCAAATTTTCATTCTTCTTCCTTATTTTAAATCAAATTTGAATGTAGCCATCTCGTCCCATCCTTAAGTGGCGTACTAAATATATATAACTTTCGCCCTCTTTCCCATCCTTAAGTGGCGTACTAAATATATATAACTATTGATGAATCCAAGTAGCAGGAAGCCTCCTTTGCTTAATTAAGTGGATTTGGTGATCCTTAGGTTCAAAAAGACAAGCCCGATGTATCTCGTTGGTCACTAAAGTATGAAATATTCGGTCGCTATGTTGAATTCTCGTGGCTTGCACGGAACATGCAGGTATGTCTGATAAATCTTCTCCTTTTGTTTTTTAAGACACATTATTACTGTTTTAACCCTCGTTTAATTGGTTTCAGCCCATTCCAAATCAGAAAATTCATTGGCGTTCTCTTGAAGGTCTATCCAACAGGTAAGAGCAAGTCTGTCCTATATGAAGGACCGGTGGTACATATCTCATTTCTCATAAATTTCATCCTATTTATTTCAAAATTTCCTTTTTTTTTGGGAACTTGTTTTACTTCGATGAGGGTGTTCCTTGCATTATGCATATATATACATCTTATTAGCCCTTGGCTGACAATACTTTTTCTGCTGTTCTAGGAGGAACATAATGCTATGAAAGAACATTCATAGTCTCACTGAAGTAACTACATCAAATTATAAACTAAACATGTAATATAGAAAAAGAGAAACAAAAACCTAAATAGGTACCTAAACAATTGAAATTTTATCTAAGACACAGGCTTCACGTCAAAATAATTGAATGAAAATAAGACAAAAACTTGGTATTTCATTCAGCACGTGTTTAAATAGGATTTACAACGTTTAACAAATAAACCCCTCTTATTACACATAACTCTCAACACTTCCCCTCAAGATGGGCGAAAGATATTCATTAAGCCCATCTTGCCACATAATTTAGCCAACTCCATTGAACTAAGTCTTTTACTGAGGCAGTTAGCTCGCTACTCTCCAGTAGCTGCATGACTTATTTTCAAAAATCAGTTATTCAGTTTCTCCTTGATGAAGAATCTATCAATCTCCACATGTTCGTTATTCAGCTTCTCCTTGATGAAGAATCTTTCAATCTCCACATGTTTAGTTCTATCGTGTTGCATCGGGTTGTTAGCAATGCTGATTGCCGATTTGTTGTAACACCACAACTTCATTTGAGTTCCCTGATCAACTTTTGAGTTCGACTAACAAGTCCTTCAACCACATCATCTCCGCAACTTCTAATGCCATGACCCTGTATTCTACCTTTGCTGTTTGTCTTGCTTCAACTGACTGTTTCTTGCTCTTCCATGAGACCAGGTTGTCACCTACAAACACAGTATCCTAATGTAGATCGGTTGTCATCAACACAACTTGCCTAGTCATAATAACAAAAGCCCTCAATATCTAAATGCAAATTCTTCCTGAATATCAATCATTTTCCTAGTGCACTCTTCAGATATCTTAGAATCTGATACATTGCATCCATATGACTCTTCTTTGGATCATGCATGT